TGAAAATTTGGGTTGCTAACCTAACCTATTTTAACAGAAAATGATGATCCAGCTTCCAACTCCATCATAATTTCTTCCTTCCATGTATGTTTCTCTGTGTGTGCTTATCCCATGCTCCTAACCTTCTTTTCCATTCACAATTTAGTGGTGTACATAGGGACAAGTGAGGTGCTGGATCAGGCAAATGGATATTGTTATTTATAATAGAGACAAAAAAACAAACAAAAAATAACTTGTGAAGCTTCTTAATACTCCTGTTGCAGGGACCACTCCTGCCTCTTTTTTATGAAGCAGTTGTAGTATAAGGGGCTCAGCAGCACTTTTTTTTGCACTTGGTTCATCAAAGGATGCTTAATATAGGGCCTATACAGACTGCCAGAAATAATCCATCTTGAGACCACTTTAATTGTCCTGGCTCAATGCTAGGGAATCATGGGAATTGTAGTTTTTTCTAAGACATTGAGCCTTCTCTGTCAGAGAGCTCTGGTGCCACAATAATTCCCTAGCACTCAGCCAGGGCAGTTAAAGTGGTCTCAAACTGGATTATTTCTGGCAGTCTGTATAGGCCCATAGTTGAAGTTTCCCTGCTGTCCATTCTGTCATTTTTTAGTACAGTGGGTGCTCTGTTCCACTAGAAAGCATTACTTAGAAATAAAGCAATCAGTAGGCATGGGATTCCCTTTAAAAACTGTAGTAAAAGGGAAGTTAGGAGGTAACCCCAATGTCAGTGGAGTGATTATTATTTTAGTTATTGTGGCATGAAGCAGAAAGTTCTGTTATGTTGTTTACATCTGTAGTGCATTAATTTAAAGGTATTTTTAAAATAAACTATTGTGTAAATCATATATAGTTGTGCTCTAACATAGAATCATGTATGCTTTTTGTAAGAGAGATGGCACTAATGAGAAAAGTTTAGTTGGCTCCTTGGTGTCATGAGAGGTGCCTGGACCTGCTGATAAAGCATCAGCAGTTATTTCCAATGTGGAAATCAGGTTCCATTTGTACACCAAGGTACATTAAGAGGATTGCCTTCAGGGAATTTGTATTGAAAGGAAAAGTGGTAGGAGATACACATGTCTGAACAAAGATGAATAGTTCAAGTCTTTGTCTTAAATACACTTATTATGAATGAGTCCCAGCTGAACACAAATGAGATTTCCTTCTGAATAAAAATGCAGATTTGCACTATAAGTATTAACAAATGAGATTTGCAAGAAATTGGTGCTATGAACAAACAACAGTATGCAACCTTTAAAATATGCTGGGGGGGAAAATCAGTATCTGGGATGACTACTGAAATACAGTCGGCGTTCCACATTCACGGCTTTGACACTTAACGGTTTTGATTATTCACGAGGTCATGGTCGTATGCATATGCACTCCTCTTCCTTGTCCCTCCCGGGCTTTTCCCCTCAGGAAAAAAGCCCAAGAAGGAGGGAGCAACCGGGAAGAATTGTGTGCCAACCCCACCCCTTTCCCAATGGGATAACTGTATTCCCCAGGCAGCTATCCTACTGGGAAAAGAGGGAGAAGGACTGATCCCTCTGCATCTTTCCCGGTGGCATAACTGTCTGGGAAAGGGGTGGGGAGCCAGTTCAAGGGATGGGAGGGTGGGGGAAGAAGAGGAGCGTGCGTGCCTGCCCCTCTTCCCCCGCCCACCTGTCCCCTTAACTGGCTTCTGTATGGGACGTTATTCATGTTTTTTCCACATTTGCGGGGGTCTTGTTCCCCTAATCCCCATGAATGTGGAGGGCTGACTGTAATCTTTAAAAGCCACATTTGGCTGCTTATTGCGTTTCAATTTTGTTTTGCTTCACTTTCTTGCATTTTGAGCTGTGACATCAGGCAGTTTCACTGCATTCTAGATTATTTGATTATTTGTTTTCTCAAAGTGGAAATGTTTACGGGAAACTTCTACATTAGACTACTTTGTGAAAAAGTTTTGGATAGTTTGAAATGTGTCATTACTTGTAGTTCTTTTTGTCCCACTCATGGCAGCTGCATATATTGAATGAATGCGTTGTCTGAATCATTAATTAGAAACAAGGCCAGCAATTTTGAAGAAATCACCAACTGTTTCAGTATTCACATATTGCTTTTAGACTTAGTGAAAGAGCTGGCTGATTCATTCACTGTGTGCAGAGATAGGCAACTTGTATGTAGCGGCCTTACTGTTTTAGTGTCCATTTTAAAATTCTGTGTTAAATTTTTGGTGATACTGTATGTAGAAAAGGCATTATACAGTAATGTAATGTATTCAGATTTCTCATAATTTTATAAAACATTTAAGAATGTCTCGGCAATCAATTCCATGCAAATTTAGTGTGAATTATTAACATTACCTTCCCCATTATTTAATTTATGTTCATACTGGTACTTGTTTTTGTTTGCTGTTTTAGTCATGTGATAGGCAAAAGTTAAGTAGTGCTGATATTATTTCCTGTGATGCTTTAAACTGGGTTAAATGCTGTAGATTTTGTACCTTCCAGAATAAAACAAAAATACTGTTTTTGAATTAATCATGGTAATTGTAAATGCCCATTAAATAATTTATGGGATTGAAGTGGTTCAAATGATTTTGTAATTCAGAAAATATATATTAAAAAGTAAAAACTACTAAATTGTCATACCTTCCTCTATTCCCAATTACTGCTTCACTTTAGCCATGGAAAAACTTTATGGAAAGAAAAATTTGTAAGCTTCTTGAAAGAAACTTGAGGGTCAGGCAATTTTCTGTGAGAAGATACAAACTTAGCACAGGATTTCTGAAATCAGATTTGATGCATGAATGATACATTGCAGATCTCATTCTTAGTTGGATTTGGGGGAGTATCTGGATTGAGCTATTGATTAATTTGCCTTGATCAGATAAAAGCTATATGTTAAAACTACAAATGCCAATTGCACTTGAAACATTAAATAGAACTATACCAGGTGTAATATACTAAAGTAATATGCCTTACATTGGACTCTTGCAATTTTTGTTTTACTCTACCTTTATATTAGTGTTTATATACATTTTTATTCCTTTACTCGGTAGATAACATTAATACTTTTTATAATCAAGCATTGCTGTATACTTCACACCATAACATTACCAAGTATCATTTGTATTCCTATTACAGTTGCCCCTCTGCGGTCACTATCATTGTTGGTTATGACAGGACTTTGAGATATCTTGTTTCCAGTGTTGCAACCTTATTCCCACTCACATTACCAGCTTTTTTTTTTTTTTAATGAAATGAAGTGGATGGGTTCATTTTACTTTCAGATTCTACTTATGAGTGTCTTAGTGTATATAATGGGCAGAATCCAGCTGAAACTGTTTGAGAACAAATCTCATTGAAAGCAATGATATGGAATTCAATTGTGATACATTGAAGGCTTGTAGATTAAAATAGGAGTGTTTTTGTAACAATTATACTTGGAATGAAGTGTACATTGAGTGGTCACTGTTATGCATTGTCTGGCATTATTTCAAATTAATAAGTATATTTTCTTTTTAATCAAGATAAGGATCTTGCATGGCTGCAGATCAAAAGATAGAATTTAATAATCTATAGGATACTGCAAAACAACTAGGAACCTTAATTAATCAATAACATGTTCCAGTTGCTAATTGATAGTGTGCATCATATCACAGTTATTAATGGTTGCCATTGAAAATCCACACAAATTTAGCCTTATTTGCTATAGAAATTTTGTTTTCAGTGGAATTTGAAAGAATATATTTTCAATTGCTGTGCCTTTCAGCCTATAATTTATTTCTAGATACTGACAACATTAGTTAACTCATGTTTAATTTACTACCTTTAAGAAACTTTTTTGTTTTATTAGAATTTCTGCAAAAATTAATACATTGAAAAATCACCACTTCACAGTTTTCCACCCTCAACATCTTTCTATGTGTACTTCCTGCTTTAACTACTAGTGACATGTAGTTAAATTTAACCAGTTACTTATTCATCTTGAAGTATTTCTCATTTTAAAAAACATCTAATTGGCTGATCTTGATGGGGAATTAAGATAGCTTTATCATATGACAATACTGAAATACTGGGGGGAAATCTTAAGTTTTTTTATAGGAAATAAAATGCTACTGGCATAAATTTTAAGCTTTGTGACTTTCTCTAAATTTTGTGTTGGACATTAGACTATTGCTAGAAGTTCATAACTGGCTGTCTGCTTGACAGGTTCAGACGAGCTGGGTGGCCTTTCCTGACAAATGGAGAACTATTTCCAGGCAGAAGCCTATAACCTTGATAAGGTTTTAGATGACTTTGAACAAAATGAAGGTGAGTAACTTTTGTTAGGACTGGAAAGCCAAATTGATCTCTGGATCAATGACTCTGCTTCTGTTTGTCTGTCTTTCCTGTTCTGTTGTAGCTGCTATCTGTGCACATGCTGGCTTTTTCCTTTTGAGAAGAAACACATACCTGTATAAACTTTTTACTAGATAGAAAAGTTATTTTTTAAATGTCCTTGAAATTGTCTTTGTGTAATAATTGCAAATATTATTAGAAATATATTGATACATAATTTCCAGGTGAAAATTTCCTACACGCAACATGGGTTGCATCCACACTTCAGAAATAATCTAGTTTGACACCATTCTAACCGCCCTGGCTCCATGGTATGGAATTCTGGGAATTGTTGTTTGTGTTCTGATGCCACCACAAACTGCAGTTCCCAGAATTCCATCACATGGAGCTGGGGCAGTTAAAGTGATTTCAAACCATTTTCTGCATTATGGATGCAGCCATAGATATATGATGGGATCAGTTTGCATGGTCCTTCCTGCAGCTAGAAAGCACATGTCCTAGTCTCCTGCATTTGTCCAGCTTCAGTGTTCTTTCCTAACATTAACTCTAATTAATAAAAATTCTGAAGTGCTCTGTACTTACTTTTTAGAGTCCTGAATTGGCCACTTTCAGATCCTTTAACCCTAAGTGATGGCCAGTTAACTTTGGGTTAGATCCAGAGTTAGGCACATGTAATGAGGCTGGCGTGGTGTAGTGGTTTGCACGTTGCAGTATGACTCTGCAGACCAGGGTTTGAAACCCGGGTCAGCCATGTAAACCCATTGGGTGACCCTTGGCAAGTCAAACATTCTTCACCTCAGAGGATGGCAATGGTAAGCTTTCTATGAAGAAACTTGCCAAAAAAAAAAAAAAACCCATAGTAGATTTCCCTTAGGGTCACCGTAATTTGGAAACTACTTGAAGGTAAACAACGAGAGGTAGAGGTAGAGTGCCTGCCATTGCACCTCCTCCAGCCTCTCAGAAATGCTACATAAAAGGTGAGAGGCCCTGAGTGGGGTTGGCTGTAGTTCCAAGTGCTGAGGACATAAAGATGGCACCTCCAGTTTCAGGCTTCCCCCTTCCCCCTCAGTACCCTGCACTGCAGCTATCACAGTTAGTAGGGTCACTGAAACCTAGTGACACATAGGAAGGCAATTTATGTCCCCCAGATGTTTTGAATTATCAGTTCTATTCTTGGCTATTCAGTATATTGCCTGGGACTGACAGGAATTATAGTCCAAAATATCTGGAGGATCCCAGATTTGCAAATCCCATTATAGCATTTTCAGAGGCTAAATGGATTGCCATGGGGAGGCTGGATTAAAAAGTCTCCTTCTACCACACCATTGGGTCTAAACTGGCCTTCAGTATAAATGCCAGAATGGAATGTGTGACTTTATTCCATAGTTTTTGAAACTGAGAGATAAAGGAATATGTGATTACTCTAACTCAGGGGTAGGCAACCTTTCCCCTTTAAGGGCCGAGGGACTTCAGCTCCCAGAATCCCAAGAGCTATTGGCCAACATGGGACTGTGAGGCTTCTGGGAGCTGAAGTCCCTCGGCCCTTAAAGGGGAAAGATTGCCTACCCCTGCTCTAACTGAAGATTTAGGGCAGGGGTCGGCAAGTTTTTCTTACCTGGGGCAAGTCCGCTGGCCTCCAGGTCTTCCACGGGCCAAGGTAGGGGGGAAATGTCACATGCGCGTGCATGTGGCCCTTGCTGCCGCCCCCGCCGGTGCCGCGTGTGGCATGGCCACCATTTTGTTTTCCAAAATGACGGCCACGGTTCGTTCGCACATGCGCAGGAGTACTGCGCATGCACAAACGAGTCATGGCCGCCATTTTGGAAAACAAAATGGTGGCCGCGACACGCATGGAGGCGGCAGCGGCAGGGGGGCGGCAGCAGGGCTGATCCAAAGGCCTCGGGGGGCCGGACCCAGGCCATAGGTTCCTGACCCCTGATTTAGGATATGTTGCAATTAACTATCTAAAGGTGTGTAATATTACTGTATATACTCATGTATAAGTCTGAAAATTTTAGTCAAAGAATTGACCCCAAAAAACTGAGTCAGCTTTTCCATGGGTCAATGAAAGTACTGTACTTTAACTCTTATCAAAAAAGGAACCATCCCCAGGTGAAAGGCAAGAACATAATCTGTCCTGGAATCACTCACCCCCTCTATTCTCTCATCCATCCAGCCTTTAGTGGGAGCCTAAACAGTTAAGCCTGTTGGAATTTTGTAAATTCTTTGGTATTGTTTTCCTTTGCTTCATCCTTTAGATCAGGGGTAGGCAACCTTTCCCTTTTAAGGGCGGAGGAACTTCAGCTCCCAGAAGCCTCAGCCATGTTGGCTAATAGTCCCATGTTGGCCAGTAGCTCCTGGGATTCTGGGAGCTGAAGTCCCTCGGCCCTTAAAGGGGAAAGGTTGCCTACCCCTGCTTTAGAGCCTTTGTTACATGCCCCTAGTTTTACCCTCAACCTATCCACCTAATTTTGGCCCCCAATACCTGCTCTCGATTTATACATGAGGTTGATTTATAGTCAAGTATATATGATAATTCTGTTTTAGATATGACACTAATAAAAAGTTAAGGCGGCAAACATGTTTTATAAATTTAAATTCCCAAGAGGCTTTTCTCTTGGTTGTTTATTCCTCTAACTGATCTAGTCTTTATTATTTGTCTTGCAAGTAGTGAGTTACAGTTATTCCTAACATTTATTTCAGTCCTCACTGAATTGTGCCTGGCCTGTTACACGGAAGCTTTTAAGCAGATTTCAAAAACTCATTTGTTCTGGATTGGTTTTTCTTAAAGGGTATTCACTTTTTTTTTTTTTTTGGAAACTACTGTTCTGTTTAATGCTTCTTTTGTTAACTTATTTAAGGGCTCCTGGTTTTGTTTTTTAAGCTGCTATGTTTTATAACTATTTAAAGAGGGACCCCTATGAGCTTAAAAATCTATTTTATACTGTGTTATGTAAATTAAGAGGGCTAGGCTTTAAATGTGGTCTTTAATCAAAATGCTGTTATGAGTCTCTTAGTTAATAAAAATCTTAATATGAATCAGATTTAGAACTTTAGAAGTAGATGAGGATATAATTTCCATGTTAACATTTGTGTAACTGGGCCATTCTAAACTGTAAGAAGAGAAACATAAGAATTGGAGACCAGTCTGGCTTTATTAGACCAAATATTTAGCATGCATTGAAGAGTTGGGTATAAAGGCATTAGAAAACTGCCATTGCTTTTAAATAGTTGATGTCTCTGAACCTGGAACTTTTATATAGTTAGTACAGTCATTAACTATTGACAGACCTATCTTCCATGAATTTGTCTAATTCCCATTTATTTATATATTCACTTAATACCCTATTGGCAGATTGGCTTGGGCAGTTTACTTTTAAAAGCCATCCAGACTAGTAAGAATTGCCACATCAAGTCATCCAATTCCATAAATTAATAAGTAGCTCTGAAGTGGAAGAATATAGTCTTTGCCACTTAATGTGACTGTGGTTAAGAGTACTATTTGAAATTAATGTGGTTTGGTTGCTTTTTGAAAGATTTTTGTTTTTTGGTAGTTTGACAAATGGAAATTGCTTTCTTAGGGTTGCTCTGCACAATGTTCTTCTTTTGAGTAATGAACACATTGCCAGTATGTGGTTATAACGTGTACTCAAATTGCTTTCTTCATTGGTTTTCTTACTCATATTTTGCTAAAGGATGTATATGCAAAAAGTTTTATTCCTAATGGTAGCTTGAGGAAAAGAAGCAGAAGTAACATATGGAGCAAAGTGAAAAGTGGATTGTTGAGGAAGAATTGTTGAAGAGACAGAAATCAGCATATTTGGAGTAGATGGAAAGTGTGAGGATTGTGACAGTGCCTCTTTTTAAAATCACTACCATTTGCTGTCAATGACTTCTGTGTGCCACAGACATCAGCTGGAAAGGGCAGAAGAGATTTCCAGTTCTTTCTGTCATTTCCTTCACTTAACATATATTCTCACTACATTTTTCAGGCATACAGAACTGAGTAGTAACATTCAGCTAAATGGGTGTGAACCCAGCACTTTTGGTCTGCTAATCTATACATATGTTCAAGGGAGGTGGTAGTTTGACTGGTGTAATTACCAGCTGATCCTCCTGGAAAAGGGTCTCAGCTTTTGCTCCATCATAGCCCAAGCTGAAGTGTCCGTTAAACACTCTCTTGAAGATAGGCAAATTTACAAGCAGGATCATACCATTTGCTCAAGTGTGTGTGTATGTATGTGCACATCTTCATGCGTATGAGACAGAAAAAGCCCTTTGGTGCACTTTGGCAGCGTTTAAGTGATGGTAGACCAAGCCAGACAAGATGGGCCAAAGCAGACAGTCTGGAAGGAGCGGCCTCAGCACTGATTGTGCTGAGACTGTGGCAACTGGATGGCCCACTCCCAAAGTGGGGCACCACTGTGGTCCCAAATGGGCCGCCAGCAGGAGTGGATTTAATCTTTTCCTGAAAATCTGGCTCCTGCTGCTTCAAGCATGGCTTCGGAGCAGCTTCCAGCTGCTTTGGGGGGGG